CCGAGCTACCTGCGAGGGCGAAGTTGTCTGTCCGATACCAGGGTGGGTCGGGCGGGACGAGTTGCGTCCTTAGCAAGGCGTCGCTTCTCGTAGTCGGCGAATATGAGGGGTGCAGAAGTCTGCAAATCTTCACTGGAGATCCACCGAGTGTCATCAGGCGCACATTGCTTGAATGTGACCTTGTACTGCCTTGGCTTGTTGCCATACTTGCGGTGCGTGATGACTCGGTGAACTTCCTGATGTCCGTCCATAGAAGGCGGATCCTGTGATCGACGTCCGGGGAACTCGTCAGCTGAAGGTGGCGTGTAGATGGCCAGGTTTGATGCATGGAAGACCCGATGCACTGTCAGGTGCGGTGGAATGTTGATCACGAAGGAAGGACCTGCGGGGTCGTCTCCAATGGCAGAAGTGACTTCCCATGGTCCGAACCATTTCGGAAGGAGTTTGCGCGAAACGTCCTGCTCGAGCGCAAATTCCTCGGAGAGGACCCAAACAAGGTCTCCCTCGCGGAAAGGACATGGAAGTCGACGTCGGTTAGCTTGTTGCTGCATGCGGACCTGAGCCTTTTGCATATTTGCGCGGACTTTGATCAGCAAGTCTCGGTACTTCCGGATGGAAGCGGGAGAGCAAGGGACGTCTATGTCGGCAGCCTGTGGCAAAAGGAGATCAGCGAAGATCCGTGCTTTCTCTCCACCATGATGTAGCTYGAATGGTGTGACGCAGATCGCCGGGTGCACCGAAGTGTTGTAGGCGAACTCRATGTCGGGAAGCCGGTCAACCCAATATTTCTGGTCGGGACGGATGAGCGTACGCAACATCATCTGAGCGGTCTGGTGCGCTCGCTCCGTCTGACCATCCGTCTGCGGGTGCCGAGCCGAGCTTGGCTTCATTGTCGTGTCGGACTCAGTCATGAGAGAAGTCCAAAAGGCCGACATGAAGCGAGTATCTCGGTCGCTCACTATATCTTCCGGAACACCCTGGTTGGTAATCCAACCGGTATGTAAGAGTCGTGCGAGCTCAGGTGCTGCAACATGATACTTGCAAGGAAGGAAGCGAGCATACTTGCTCAAGCGGTCAACGACCGTGAGAATACCGTCATGGTCGTAGCGATCGGGGGGAAACGGGCCTGTCACGTCCATAGCAATGGAGAGGTGTGGTGCCCGAGGAATCGGCAACGGTTTCAGTTCACCGAAGGGGACTCGAGATCGACCCTTGTTACGGTGGCAAATTGCACATGACTCAATGTACCTCATGACGTCATGAAGGACGTCGGTCGGGCCAGTGAAAACGCTGGCGGAGGCGTGCTAGTGTGCGGTTCACGCCAAGGTGTGCCGAAAGTCGTGCGTCGTGGAATTCGCCGGGAAGACGAGTCCGTAAGATGCGATCTTGGGGCACAACTAACAAGTCCTTTCCTCTCGTGTGAAGGAGAAGGAACCCGTCGGAAATCCGATAGTGGCTCGCCGGCGGGTGATCCGATGAAAGCTCTACGTAAAGCGTAGAGTAAGTCGGATCGGTAGCCTTTGACGAAATGCTGCTGCAGATCGTCATCGAGGTCGAATGTTGTGGTCACAATGGCACAAAAGTCGGGCCGTCGTGAGAGGGCGTCCGCAGCTCGATTGGCGGGACCGGGAATGTGACACGGGTCAAAATCGAACTGGTCGATGTAATACATCCATCGACCGATCGTGCTAGTGACCGTATCCTGTGTTTTATAAAAGGTCAACGGATTGTTGTCCGTATTCCATTTGAACTGCCGACGGCCGAGAAGAAAGTGGCGCCACCGTTTGAGAACGGT